ACCGGCACGTGGGGGCTTGCTGAGGGCAGGCTGGTGTCAGTGCGGTAGCACTCTGTTCACTGCAATGAACTAGTCTGCATCAGCTGCATATTATTGCACAACGATAGGCGCTCCCCATTCCATCAGCTTCTCCCAACTTCCTAGGCATGCCTCCCTCCCATGGCCACAGGTGGGCAGTTTTAGTGCTAATTCTTGGGCGGGAGAAGTGTCAAAGGGGTGGGAATGGGGTTAAGAGTGAACTACTATATTCTACAGCATTTTGGCTGCAAAGGAAGTCTGTGACAGTGTCTGGGATTAATAGGGACGGCTGAATCTTTCATTTCTAGCTGCTCTGATTTTTCCACCTTAAACTCAGTTCTCCATATTTCCATTGTAATTTGCCATATATATATATGTTTTATTTTAAAAATCCATATGAAAGTGGCTCAGCATTTCTGTGCAAGTTTCTTCATTTTTGTATACAGTTTTGTCTGTCCCTGGCATTTTTGCAAGCAATTTTCCCGTGGGTGTTGTTTTCATGAATCGTATCCACAGACTTCCCTAATAGATGCAGTTTTGTGCACAGTGCATCTCAAAGCTCAGAGAAATGTGGATTTCAAAGGATAGCTGTGTTTCGGTTTGTGTGTTAGTTTGAGAAGTGTGAATTCGGTATCCTTATGAAAATACAAACATTAGATTTCTACCCCATCCATAGGGACTAGTGCAGTGCAAGGAGGAGAAACCAAGGAGGTACTCGAGCAACTTGGGACTATCCTAGTGTTTTGGACTACAATGCCTATCAGCCAGTCCAAAACATCCAGAGGGCACCTGGTTGGTGATGCCAGAGGCTTTTCCCATTCCTGCCACCCTTTATTCAGCCCTCCCACTTCTCCCACTCAATCTCTCCTGAGTCTTCAATGCATCCCATGTCAATGCACAGACTCCGGCTCCACGCTGATTAATAAGAGCGCAGGGCAGATTTGGCATAACCTCAAATGCTCCTTCGACGGTATAACCATTAAACAAGTCACTGGGGTGGCTGTAAATATTCTGAACAATTGCTTTTCGAATTACAGCATTCCACAAATGAATCACTGGACTCTATGTCCTTATCATGAAAGAAAGGTGAAGGACCAGCCAGCCGATTGTCAGATGCTGAAGAGTGATGCTTGCACTGGCTTCCATTAGTGTATTTAAAGCTTTCAGCTCACTGATTAGTATAGTCTGCCTCCCAGCTCTCTCAATATCACGTCCGTTTCAGTTCTCCCGAGCCCCATTAAAAATCTTTACTTCATCACTTTCTTCTTATAGCCTCCTCGGTGGTTTTGAGAGTGTAGCAGAGGCTTCACAGCTACCCTTATAGTCTGATAAAGTGGGCAATTTCCAGATACCTGCTCTGCCTTTATAGTCCACAAGTAACGTTAAAACATTTACTAGCAAGGATTCGTTCCAATCGTTATGAACTGTTTGTAAGATTCAATGCACATGAGTGTTTGAGACAATCCTAATTGCAACGTTCAGAGCTCATTCAAAACAACAGGCAATCCTTCCTTGCCTCTCTCTTAGGAATGATAGTCATAAAGTAATTCTGTTCTTTAATTTATTCGGGGCCTGCCCAACACCAAGTTAAATGTATCGTCTCTCACTTTCTCTGGCGGAAAGCATTCGGGAATAAAAGAGTTCTTCACTCTTAGTGTTTACTAAGTCATTGAAAGCAATTCTGTTTTAATGCAGTAAAATTTGTCAGGGCCATCTCTCTGTCCCCAGCTTGCAGTGTTTAGCATTGCAGCCAAAGGCATGGATCTCACGAGGAGCATCAGTGGTAAAGCTATGTCTGGGCTGTACCACTTCAGAATGCAGATGGGGCTGAAATGATTAAAGGCTTCTCTATACTACAAAATGGGACACAGGTGGTGCTGTCGGTTAAACCACAGAGCCTAGGACTTGCTGATCAGAAGGTCGGTGGTTCGAATCCCCGCGACAGGGTGACCTCCCATTGCTCGGTCCCTTCTCCTGCCAACCTAGCAGTTTGAAAGCACGTCAAAGTGCAAGTAGATAAATAGGTACTGTTCTGGCAGGAAGGTAAACCGCGTTTCCGTGTGCTGCTCTGGTTTGCCAGAAGTGGCTTAGTCATGCTGTACGCTGGCTCCCTTGGCCGATAAAGCAAGATGAGTGCTGCAACCCCAGAGTCGTCCACGACTGGACCTAATGGTCAGGGGTCCCTTTACCTTTTATATTACAAAATAATAAACTAAAAATGTCCATCCACATTGAAAACAAGATCCCAGGAAGGAAAGTCCCAATGTGCCTTTTCCCCATGTGCAGGAGTTTTTATTGCATGGGGTGTATTCAGGCATGTGAGCGAGTGTGTGTGCGCACGCACACACACACACATGGATGTACATATGAAAACTCCAGGCAAAGTTTGCTAGTAATTACCCTTAATTATTAGCCAGTGACAGAATTCCTCAGACATTGTGGCTCCAGCAAATGCACACTTTATTTATCCTACATTTATTTGCCAGAGCCCAGCACATGTCTTCGGCTTCTGATCTATTAGCCAGTCAGTCTTTTACCTTCCTTTCATGGTAGGATATAAAGTCCAATGGCACATTTAAATACTGCATCCCCAATCAATCTATTCCACTGGCGACTCAGATGAATTAGAAAGGTAGGAACAAACAAACCCTAGTCACTTCAGAAGAGTCTGGCTTCGCTTCATCACTCAGAACCATTGCCAAGGTTTTAGGTCCTTGCCTTCCAACATCTATCACATGTTTTAGAAAGCTGTCTCTTAGCTATGCGTTTGGACACCTCTCAAGATATCCTAACCAAATAAGGCATGGTGGTCCCTGAACTCAAGGAGCAGATATTTGGATGCAGCTGGGTGCCATTTTGAATCAAGGTGGTGTACTGAACTTTTCAAAATGGCACTGATTTCAACCACTTGATTTCAAAACAGCATTGTGGGGGTTTTTTGGGGGGGTGCCTTAGAATTTCTGAGCAATGCAGGGTACAGGGCTGCTAGTTTAAAATAAAACATGAAATGTTTTGGGCAGTGGATATATGTAATGCCATTGATGCTTCCAAGGGAGTTATTTAGACCGGGATGCCATGGTTACAGACACTTAACTAGCTGGTATACATTTAAAATCCATATAACTTAGGTGGAAACATAGCAGTATGACTAGGGGCCTGATCCTCTAAAGGGCAGATGTGGTTGAGCACTAATGAGGCCTACTTTACATGTTACAGTATTAGGCATATGAATAAGATGTTTTATATGCACACTTAAAAATGGAAAATGGGATTCTGCATGGACCAGGAAATAAGGAGATAAAAAATGTTTGGGTCTTTCAAGGGTTAGGGATATGTAACGGGGTGGAGGTGGTGGAGATAATTTTTCTGTTCTTTGTTCTTAAAAGCCTCATTCATTTAAATGTGTTTGAATCAAATTCATTTCATTATTCATTAGTTGCTATGCCATTCATTTTTAATCCAGCCCCAGCTTGAAGCTAGGAATCTTAGAGCCAGAGCATCCTCGACCGATGCCTGCCAAGCCTCTACAGTGCAGATGCTCAGCTGAGAGGCTGAATATTTGAGTGTGCCCAGGAGATAGGCTTCTGACCTCAGGAACCCAATTAGGGCTAAGACTCTATTGGCCAGACTGTACGAGAAAGAGGCAACAGAGTCACCTTAGTCCTGCTTATAATGCTGTGAAGTCCTGGTTAGGGAAAGAGCAGTAATGTAACAAAAACATTTACAAACACAGGGAGTCAAGGAGTTGTGGTTGGCAGTTGCTACCCACTGGCCATCCATTTGATGGCAAACCAAGTTTTGCCTTGGCACTTCTGAAAAAAATCCTTAGCCTAAATGTTCGCGGCAAAGGAACTGTAATTTCTGCCTTTTCTGGAAGTGGGGCAGTTAATAAAGTCATGAAGAATTAAAAACTAATTTGTATTAATACCTTCACCCCAGCCTTTTAATAAAGTCTTTTCATCTTTACTCATATTAATGCAACTGAAAATTCACAAAGAATCACTGACTACCAAGCATGGATGTGCAAAGGAGTGTCTACAACCCTCTCCCTGTATTTATGAGAAGGTCGTGCTCCTACAAACCCAGTCAAATGAAGAGAAGGAACACCCTCCAAATATAGGCATGCAAACTATATAAATTCTGCAGAGCAGAAAAATATGTTTCTGACTACACAAAGCTGCTGAAAATTTGATGAGCAATTAGCCAAGTGGGATTTGTAGACTGTAAAGTTGATTTTTTAGTAGGTTACATTTAGTAGGTTATGCCAGCCTACTGTTACTTTTGAAGAAATGTTTATTTTTCATTTTGCTGGTTTTAGCATAACTCATGATGAATGTTCATAGGGTTTTAGTGACAATTTTTTTTATATAAAAAATGTGTGTTCTATCAAATTAAAGTTTCAACCTAAGAATCTACAATCTTAAAAAATAAAATAAAATAAAATATGAGCTCACTTGCTTGCTCAAGGCCAATATGTACATAAGCTTTTGCAGTTTGATCCTATGGGAAATGCCATAGAGTTTTGCAATTCGTATTCCAGTCTTTTAAAGAAAGCAATAAGAAAAATATCTTAATCCTTTTCCATTATCTTGGATAACTCATTTGATCCTTTGACTTGTACCCTCATTATTTCTTGGCAGATTAGCAATTAGATAAACCATGAATATAATTTGATGTCGGGGGGGGGCGGAGTCTCAGCAGAGTTAAGTTTAGGGTGGCATCATACAGGTTTAGGTCCAGGAACATCAGAGTAAGCAGCAAGCAGGCAGGAAAACAGAAAACACAAGAAGGCAACAGGAACTCAGAGTAGGAAGCATCTTTTGAGGAGGGTCTATAGATCAACCACAGAACATGCACATTATAAGATGATGTTCTATCGACAGAGAAAGGAAAATCTTCAAGGCTGGGAGGCTGGGGAAAGAAAGGACAAGGTGTAAGATACAACTCTAATAAAGGCTTCTTACATCTTCCTCCTCTTCTTCTGAGATAGTTCAGTCAGGAGAACATGACGCTGTTAATCTCAGGGTTGTGGGTTTGAGCCCCACATTGGGTAAAAAGATTGGCATTAGACTGGATGACCCTCATGGTCCCTTGGCAACTCTACAATTCTATTCTTCTTTTTCTTCTACTACTTCTTCTCTTTGTTTCTCTTTCTCTTTCTCTGTTTCTCTTTCATTTTGTTTGCTTCTCCCTCTTCTGTCTTTATTTAGATTAGTTTGCCTTTTAGTTTATTCTGTGCTGAAAAGTTTCAATAGAGAGAACTGATAAGCAGAAGTCCTTGGCTAAAAAGACACCAGGTACACCAGGTAGCATGTGTTGGAATGAAGAGTGTCTGAAAATCACTGCTTATCCATGTAGGCAATGGTGGACTGAGTCATACTTCTCCACCTGGTGCCTTACAGATGTTTTGGACTTCAACTCCCACCAGCCCCAGTCAGCAGAGCCAATGTTCGGGGATGATGAGGGCTATAGTGCAAAACATCTGAAGGGTAGCATGTTGGGGGTGGTTAGGCTAAATAAAGGCACCTTCCCAAAGTTCCAGGAATGCAGGATGGGCCACAAAGATCCAAAGCCTAGCAGTTTATGGAAAGCAGATGTCCATGTGAAACAATTAGCTTGTTATTTCAGGAGAGGATGTAAGAGAAGAAAAGTGGCCATGGGGATGCACACAGAACCTTTTATTGTGGGTCCCTCCCCTGCCCTCTTCTTAAGGAATGAGACCACAGATTTCCTCTATCTTTACATTTGCTGCTGCAAGGACTGATGAGACAATAGCATCTTTCTCTGCCCATCCCAGTCACATAAGTAAAGGGTAAAGGGACCCCTGACCATTAGGTCCAGTCGTGGACTATTCTGGGGTTGCGGCGCTCATCTCGCTTTATTGGCTGAGGGAGCTGGCATACAGCTTCCGGGTCATGTGGCCAGCATGACTAAGCCACTTCTGGCGAACCAGAGCAGCGCACAGAAATGCCATTTACCTTCCCACTGGAGCCGTACCTATTTATCTACTTGCACTTTGATGTCCTTTCCAACTGCTGGGTTGGCAGGAGCTGGGACCGAGCAACAGGAGCTCACCCTGTTGTGGGGATTCGAACCGCCAACCTCCTGATTGGCAAGTCCTAGGCTCTGTGGTTTAACCCACAGTGCCACCCGCGTCCGCCCATTCACATAGAGGCACGTTTAAAGATGGCATCTGCATTAGAGAAGCCTGGCAATCCTGCCATCATTGATGCCAGCGCCGAAAAGCAAGATGAGAAAAGTGGCCCTGTTTCTGTTGACTCCCAAATAAACAGTTCCCTGTCCAGAATATTTATCTGACATATTGTGGGTGCTAAAGCTAGATCAGTGTTTGACTGGCAATTGTACATATGGGGCTGCTAGTTCATCTCGAATATATCCATGCCTTTTCTCACTGAGAATGGGGAAGGGGGAGAGAAAGCTAAGTGAAAAAGTGGTGTTGAGGTGTTCCTGTTGCCTGGCATTCATTCTGCATGGCAAGTGAGAATTCTTCTTCCAGGTTTCCCTGTTCTTTGAGTAGGAAGGGTGTCAGCTGCTGTGAGCTCTTTTAATTGCCCCTGTTTCACTGCGCTATGTTTGGAAGTAAAGAAAGTATTTGATGAACAGGCCTCTTCATCACAATTAAGAAGACTGAGCAAAGTGGAGGTCAGCTTTGTACCTGCAAGAGATTAAATGCAATCACTGGAACCAGAACCATGCAACCTTGACAGTTAGCCATGGAAGGTAATAAATCGCTATCGTAAGAAAAGAGGAACCATTAAATTGTCTGACTGATTGCAAAGGGGCATTAATTCATTCAATTAGTAATGAGGAAAACAATCAGCAAAAGAGAAGTGACAGACAGAGCGCTGCAGGAAAATGCTGGCCTTTAATTAAACACTAAAGTATCTATAGCATAAATTATTGTAATGGTTGGCTTTGAACATTCGGTGTTCTCAGCTATCTCTTCAAGTAAATCATATGAAGAGATCAGAAAGTGATGTGGGTGGCTTGAAAGGGGGGAGGAATATTTCCCAGCTGCTGGCGTGATATTTTATTGATATAGAATTTTAGACAATGTTTGTTCTACTTAGAGCAGACCCAATTAAATTAGTGGGCATGACTTGGAGGGCTCATCCACACTTTCCCTTGTCTTGTGCCTAGAAAACATGGGTCTTGGCGGTTTGGCCTTTGTCTTGCTGCTTTTTCCGGAAAACCTGTTCTTTAGCGCTGAATTGGAAGAAACAGCAATCTATGGAAAACTCAATCGCCGTTCGTTCTGGTTCAGCACTAAAGATCGGTTTTCACCAGGGGAAAGCAGCCGGGCAAGTGGAGGTGTGAATAAGCCCTGAGTAGAACTTAGGTGGCTACAACCCATAATATTTACATTATGTTCTCTGAGTGTGACACAAGTCACCCTAAAAAGGCAGGAGGCATGGCGAAAGGAGACATACCACTTTTGACGTCTGCAACTGTAGAATTTGAAGGATGTTTTGATCACTTGATGGCTGTTTTTTTGCACCTGATTCTCTTAATTGCATTTTGTTGTACAGTGGAACCTCGGTTTTTGAACGTAATCTGTTCCAGAATACTGTTTGACTTTCGAAACATTTGAAAACCGTGGCTCAATGGGCAGTCAGCAAAATCCATTGAAAAAAATGGAAAAATGCGCCTCAGAAGCCGTTCGACTTCTGAGGTGCGTTCGAAAATGGAAGCAATTACTTCCAGGTTTTCGGTGTTCGCTTTCTGAATTGTTTGGCTTCTGAGACTCTCGAAAACCATGGTTCCACTATACTTTGTGATACCCCCATAACAAGCAGTGCAAAAATATTTAAACAAATATTTCAGGGGCACCATTTTCAATTGATTGAGGGCTTTTATTCTCTCTCTCTCTCTCTCTCTCTCTCTCTCTCACACACACACACACACACACACATGCTTGTTTGCATACATTTCAGACTCATTTCGCTCTCCTAGGAATAACAGTGTCTCAATTTATGGTATGTACAGGAGTAAAAATCCAACAAATTGTCTTAAAATACACTGCTTTTAACTTGTGAGAAGAGGCCTTTGAACCTTGCAGTCAGTCGTGCGTTGCCACAATCTCTTTGCCAACACCTCCACCAACAGTGAAATTGGATATGTTACAAACTCCCCCTAGTGGCACAAGAAACTGGTTTCTGGTCTCACCCACTTGCATATTAATCTGAGTGAGAGCACCTCATAACCCAGACATAAGCCATAAAAGCATCTAAGTCCTCCACTCAAATGGAAACTCTTCACATCTATTTAGGCTGCAAGCCTTACATGGGAGTATAGCCTATTGATTCAGCGGGATTTCCTTATTAGTAGTAATACACATTAAAGGACTGTATCCAGTGTCCAGGCTGTAGCCCTAATTCCATGGCTGGAACTGAGAGCTTAGACAGCCTGTCCTCTTTTTCTCATCAATATCTTGGGTCCATTGGTGGTTTTTCCTTTTTTGCATCTTCAAGCAGGCAGGAAGAGCCCTGCTCTTGTTGAACTAGCGCCCCCTGCTGGTGACAAGTCGACTTTCTCTTAGAAGAAATCATGTTCTTTCCCCCTTATTTTAAAAAGAAAAAAAATCGCTTGTAAACGGAGGTAGTGTGAGCCACTGAAATTGATGTCACAGGACTGTCAATTTGTTGATTCACAAGTGACAACCAGTTTAAGAAGGCAATATAAGTGTGTATAAATTTTAGTCTCTGCTGCGGGCACTTACTGTATTAGATAGTGCTCACTATGGGAAGCGGGGAACCATTTCCACCCACGCTATGCCTGGAACAGTTTTGCAATTGTTTTAAAGGATTATTTTAAAATATCTTACTGGATGTGTGTGTGTGTGTGTGGTATTGTTGTTTTTTTAAAAAAAACCCACAAGGATCCTTGTGCAGACTTACAGACGATCATATTTGTTACGGCACAAGTTTTCTCAGTCTCATGTAGGACGTGTTGTGCTGAGTTGCAAATAAATATATATAGCATACCCCACAAATGTCCCGGAAAAACTAGGACATCCCTTTTTTTTATTGTGAGAGAACGGCGTTCATTTTGGTTGTCGTGACCTCTTGCGATTTCACAGCACGATTCCCGCCCCCCAAAGCACTTTTGTGGGGGAAACCGGTGGTGCAAAATTGCACGAGATCACGGAAACCAAAATGGCCGCTGTGCTTTTGCAACTAAAAATGGGAAGATGGCGACCAGGAAGATGGCATTCTGAAATCTGGCTTCCAAGTATTGGAGTGGATATCATATAAGGCTATATATATGTGTGCAGCTGTTAGGGTGCTTAGGGAAACACCCAGCTTTACACATATTGCGTCAGTATTTGAAGATCTGCATTGGGTTCCTATTAGCTACGCAGCTAGGTCCAAGGTTTTGATGTTGACAGATAAAGCCCTAAACTACTTGAGATCAGAATACCTTCTAACTATCTCTCCAAGCTGATCTTTAAAATTTTCTGAGGAGACCCTGCTGGTTTTTCCATGACTGGCAGATTGTCCCTCGTTGACATTACGAAAATTGGCCTTCTTGCCCTCTCTTGAATTATTTGTGAGACAGGGACAAACTTTAAGCACCTCTTAAAAGCTTTCTTCTTTACCCAAGCTTTCCTGGACTCTTAATTTTTAATTCTCTGTTACACTAGTTTTACTAGTGATACACAGTTTTGCTTTGATCAAGTTGTAAGAAAATATTTTACTGAATGTTATTGTTGTACCTTAACTGCAGTTACGTGAACCACTTAGATAATTTTTTAAAGTTATATTTTGGGGGGTACAAAAGATTTATAAATAAATGAATGAATTGTGAGCCAATTTAGGGAGCTCACAAAAGAAGAGTTTTGTTTCTTCAGTTGTTTACAGAGGAAGCTTGCGAATAACAGACATTCTGCCACCCAAGTTAAATATTAGTTCATCCTTTTGTTATCAGCGAGGAAGTTAAGCACCTTCTAAAATCTCTTCTCCTGGAACCAATGAGATTTAAGGAAGAGTAACTTTGGCTAGATCATGCTTGCGCTATTATATAATAAGGTAAAGGA